TGCTTGGGAGAGGGGACTTGGAAGAGGGAAACTGATTTCACCACCTCCATGTCTTCAGATGGGATGAGGAACAGGACCACAGAGTTGGCTTTCTCTGACTGTTGCTTATTTCTCCCTATCTCATCTCTCCTCCTATTTAAATCACAATTCCCATCCTTTTCCTTCCTGCCCTTGTTAGCGAGGAGACATGTGAGCTTCCTCAAACATCTCCTTCCCCAAAAGAAGTCAGGAGATGGCCAACAACAATGTCCATGGTGGGATGCTGCTACAGCACCCAAAGGCTGTGGGGGAACCACAAACCACAGCACTGGAGCTGGGTTCCCTCAGCAGACATCAGTAACCCATCACAAGGCCCACCCAACATTTGCTTGTGCATCCACTTGTCTCACAGCATCTTCATTCAAACCGTCCAAGCCCACACCAGCACTGACTCCACTCAGTTGTGTTCCTCCTGCTTCCTTCCTCCTTCTAATCAAGCCTCAGACATCCCAGAGTCCCCTGACTAAAGCCTTCAGGAGCAGGTTTTGTGCCTTAGATCTCCATGTCCTGAACCACTAAGAAAGAGGCTCTCCCAGGAGAGGAGAATGAGCTCATGGTCCCACCAGGGCTCACCATCAGGCAGGATGAGACTCCAGACACCTCAGCAGGTCCTGTTTCTGCCTCATGCTACTGTCAGGACCCTCCATCATCAACTGGCATGTTACAAGGAAGGGATGCAAAGAGGACAAGGAGGAAGACAAGGTAGCCTGCAAGTGTAAGCCTAGGAGAGATGACCTCTGAGACTCACAAACATCTCGGGCAAGAGCAGGGCACACCTACCATAGGTGAAAAGTCAGTCAAAGCTGCCAGAAATGGGCAAAGCAAAGCTCCTCCTCCTCAAAAAAAAAAAATTAAAATCAGGGACATTGAGGAGCAACGGTCACACATCCACAGCCACTGAGTGGGGAACCACGGAGCACTTGCATGAATTTAGATTTCAAGGGCTGTTGGAGCACTTTGGGACAGTCCCTCTCAGTACCCACCCGCACCACCTGCCCAGCCAGGAAATTCTCATGGTCACCCAGCTGGTCATCCTTCTCCAAGAGGCTGACGATCCACGGCTGTAGGACGTAGATTGTGGTAGAAGACACATCCTTGTGTACAAACATAGACCTGCGGGAGAAGAGACACCAAGCCATAAGCAATGCACCAACATCCCGGGAAGGGTTTTGAATCCCAAACACAGCCACAAACCCAGGAGATTGCTGAAATCCAGCCCAAACCCCACCACTTCTCCACAAGGACCCATCCTGAGGGCACTGTGCTGAGGAAGCCACTGCTGAGGGCACGCAGGTTCTGCTGCATCTCTCTTGGGCAGTGGAGGGAGGACACCAGCAGCTCTGGAGTGTGTCCGGCCTCCTGTGAGTCTCCCATGGTTCAGGACCTGTATTTCTACCTCTTCCTTTATTGTTTATTATCCCCCCAATAATTATTTTCCTTTGACCAGGTGTTAACCATAAGTCTCTGAACTGTCAAGGGGAGAAGGATCGGTGACAGGCAGGGCTGGGGACAGGGAGGGTTGAGACAGGCAGGAGCCAGACAGGCAGCGGCTGGGGACAGTAGGGATGGGACCAGAAGGGTTGGGGACAGGCAGGGGTGGGGACAGGCAAGGGCTGGGGACAGGGAGGGTTGGGACAGGCAGGGGCTGGGGACAGGAGGGATGGGACAAGCAGGAGTGGGGACAGGCAGGAGCCAGACAGGCCGGGGTTGGGGACAGGCAGGGTTGGGGGACAGGAACGAGTGGGGGACAGGCAAGGGCTGGAGACAGGGAGAGTTGGGACAGGCAAGAGCCAGAGAGGCAGTGGCTGGGGACAGTAGGGATGGGACCAGCAGGGTTGGGACAAGCCGGAGTTGGGGACAGGCAGGAGTGGGGACAGGCAGGGGCTGGGACAGGCAGGGGCTGGGACAGGCAGGGGCTGGGACAGGCAGGGCTGGGGACAGGGCTGGGGACAGGGCTGGGGACAGGGCTGGGGACAGGGCTGGGGACAGGCAGGGCTGCCCCCCTCCCCGGTTCCCCGGTCCCCCCTCACCGCTCGGCCGCCTCCAGCCCCGGCTGGTCCCGCCGGTCCCGCTCCGTGTCCCCGCCGGGAGCAGCAGCCGCCGCCGCCGCCATGGTCGCGACCCCGGAACGGGAAAGGGGCCCGGCAGGGGCGGATCCGGGGCGGGGCGGCCGCGGGAGCCATCCCAGCTCCGGCCCTTCCACATCCCCTTCCCGCTCCCCTTCCGCTCCCTACCCTCGGCGCTTTTCCTCGGCGTTCGTGTGCCCTTGTAGAAGAGAAGGATCCGTGGATACCATGGAGCACCTTCCGGTACCTGAAAGGCCCGCAAGAGAGCTGGAGAGGGACTTTGGACAAGGGCATGGAGTGACAGGACGAAGGGGAATGTCGTGAAACTGCCAGGGGGCAGAATTAGATTGCATATTAGGAAGAAATCCTTCCCTGTGAGGGTGGGGAGGCCCTGGCACAGGTTGTCCAGAGAAGCTGTGGCTGCCCCATCCCTGGAAGTGTCCAAGGCCGGGTTGGATGGGGCTTGGAGCAACCTGGGATAGTGCAAAGTGTCTCTGCCTCTGGCAGGGGGGTGAACAGGGTGAGCTTTAAGGTCCCTTCCAATGCAAACCTTTCCAGGATTACCCATTTTTTTGCCGACTTTCTTGTACCATTTCCCATTCAGTGGTGCACATGTAATGCCAAACCATCCCTGGAACCTCGCCTTGTTTTCATGCTCTTTCGTTCAGTTTTGACTCCAATAGCTCCAAGGAGTCGCAGGGTCTCGCCAGGTGGTTGCCCAGGGGAAGACGCATCCTTCTACAACAGGCTTGCACATCCTTTACCTCCTCTTAAGGCATTAAAACCCCTTACCTGATAAAATCTGCCAAGCAAACTGGGAAATGTTCGGGCTGAAGGGGTGGCAGATTCTTCCTCTAGCCCAGTTCAGTTGTGGCTCGATGTGGTTGGTGCCTGTTCATCCCCATGCCAGAGGCTGGGGCTGCATCAATGGGGTGGTGTGAGTGCGGTGAAATGGCACAACAGGACGGATCAGTGCCACACTGTGTGGGGTTTGCATGGACAGGTTTTGGCAGCGGGGGGGCTACAGGGGTGGCTTCTGTGAGAAGGTGCTGGCTGGGCCAATCAGGAATGATAGTGACGCCTCTGGGACAACATATTTAAGAAGAAAAAACCCAGTGTTACTGCAGAGGTGTAATTGCAGCCAGAGAAGAGCAGGGTGAGAATATGCGAGAGGAACAATAGTGCAGACACCAAGGTCAGTGCAGAAGGAGGGGGAGGAGGTGCTCCAGGCGCCGCAGTGGAGATTCCTCTGCAGCCTGTGGTGCAGACCATGGTGGGGCAGCTCTGCCCCTGCAGCCCATGGAGGTCAGTAGGGGTGCAGAGACCCCCCCTACAGCCTGTGGAGGAGCCCACGCCAGAGCAGGTGGATGCTCAAAAGGGGTTTGTGAACCTGTGGGAAACCCATGCTGGAGCAGGATCCTGGCAGGGACCTGCAGACCCGTGGAGAGAGGAGCCCATGCTGGAGCAGGTTTCCTGGACTTGTGACCCAGTGGAGGGACCCACACTGGAGCAGCCAGTGCCTGAAGGACTGCACCCTGTGGAAGAGTGACCCACGTCGCAGCAGTTCGTGGAGAACTTGCCCGTGGGATGGACTCACACTGGGGAAGTTCATGGAGGACTGTCTCCCATGGGAGGGACCCCATGCTGGAGCAAGGGAAGGACCCTTCTCCCTGAGCAGCATCAGGAACATGTGATGGCCAGACAGTAGCCCCCATTCCCTGTCTCCTGCTGGAGGGGAGGAGGTAGAGCTGGGAAGGAGGGAGGGTGGGGGGAAGGTGTTTTTAAGATTTATTTTACATCCCATTATCCTGCTCTGATTTTGTTAGTAATAAATTCAGTTAATATCCCCAGTTCAAGTCTGTTTTGCCCGCGATGGTATTCAGTGAGTGATCTCTCCCGCCCCTTATCTCAACTCATGAACTTTTGTTATATTTTTTTCTCTCCCCTGTCCAGTTGCGGAGGGGAGTGATAAAGCGGCTTTGGTGGATGCCTGGCATCCAGCCAGGGTCAACCCACCACACACACACAAGAGTAGGGAGCAGGGTTTGCTCTTGCAGACAAAAGCTAATTTATTGGGATGGTTGCGTGAGGCAGCACACGGGTGGAGGATCAGATCTTCTGAACACGACAGCTGGTCACTGTCTAGTTGCCAAGGTCCTCGTAGCAGCATCTTCAGCTGGAGCAGGAGAGAGTCCCCCAGCTTACACTCCCCAGTCCTGCCCAACCAGCTCCTGGATCTGTGGTTATTGATAATCTTAAATGACCTACACAACATCTCCCAACCATCTTAAATATACATATTCCCCTGTTGCAAACTGTCTGTGCAGTTTGGGTGATGCTGCAGCAGGAACCAGCTGGGGAGGCCATGGGATCATAGAATCAGAGAATCATTTAGGTTGGAAAAGACCACTGAGTCCAATCCAGCCATCATCCATCAGATGCTCTGTCCCTCCCTGCAGGGGAGGTTTGGGTTACCCTGGAGGGTTTTGCAGTGGTCCTGGGGGGTTTTTAGGTTTCTCAGCCTGTTGTTGTGGTAAAGGGACACTTGCCTGTCCTGACTGCTCCATTCCCAATGCTGGCTTTGGCATTGCACAAATTAAGGCCAAAAAACTGTGCTGTGCAGGGTCAGGAAATCCAGCCTTGCCTGTCTGACCTTGGGCAAGGGGAGGGACAGAGGCTGGGATCCCAAGAGGGAGGGTGGTGGTGGGAGAGAGCATCTCAGTGCAGGGACAGGAGTAGTGCTGGCCCTGAAAACTGAGCAGCTCCGGTTTGGAGGAGCAGGGAAGGTACAGAAAGCAGCACTCTAGATATCTAGCCCAGGGCATTCCCTGCCTGGGCAGGACACTTGGCTCCCTTTGCGTCATTCCTCAGCCACCAGGAAAAGTGGATCATGGGTATGGACCACAGCCAAGAGATTGAGGTTCAGGCAGAGAATTTCCGAGAGCCACGGGCTGGTGCAAGTCCTCATGGGAACATGTGAGATAACCAAGTAGCAAAAGGCACCCGCAGAGTCCGGGTGAGAGCAGTGCAGCCAAGGACAGAGCAGCATGGCAGGGCTCCGTGTCCGCTCCCTTCTGGTGACTGGGGCCAACAGGGGCATCGGCCTGGGGCTCGTCCAGCACTTCCTGAAGATGCCAAACCCACCCCAGTGGGTCTTTGCAGGCTGTCGGGACCCCAAGGGACAGCGAGCAAAGGTGAGGCCGGGCTGGGAGGCAGTGGCTGTGCTGGGGGACAGGAGCACTCAGTGCTGGGGGGAAATTGGATGTGAGAGGGGGTTTGCAAAGGGTTGGGGCTGCAGCTGGGCACCCACAGCACAGGGCAGGTGGGCTGGGACACTGTGGGAGCAGCTGTGCATGGGATGTTTGACGGGAACAGTGGCACATGGCATGTGCAGGAGGCACAGAGCCCCATGTGATGGGAGCAGGGCAGCTGGAGCAGGGTGTTGGGCACAAAGCAGTGCAGGGATGGAGCCAGAACGACATGGGCTTTGCCTGAGAAAAGCTGAGCCTCTGTGCAGCCCCTCCTGCCTCTCCCTGCCCACACAGTGCCCTCTCTTGCAGGAGTTACAGAATTTGGCCTCCAAGCACCCCAACCTGGTCATAGTCCCGCTCGGTAGGTGCCCCGAGGTGGGGAACCTGTGCCCCAGTTCCTCTGGCAAGTGCCCGAGCACTGGGCATACCCTGGCAGTCCCTGTGCTGGGAGGGAGCCATGCCAATGGGCTGGTGCTTGTGGGGCCATCGTGCGCTGCCAAAGCTCCTGCCTGTGACCAGCCCTGAAGCATGTCCCTGGGGGAAAACAGGACACCCCAAGACACCACAGGGACACTGACCTCCCCTATATCGGCTCTGCAGAAGTTGCCAGCCCTGTCAGCATCAAGGTGGCTGCAACCACAGTCAGGGAGCACGTGGGGGGCTCTGGGCTGAACCTTCTCATAAACAATGCTGGAATTGCCAAGATAACCTTGCTTGAAAATGAGACACCAGAGGACATGACCGAGACTTACACCACCAACACAGTTGGGCCTCTGCTGATGGGCCAGGTGAGACCCTCACCCAAGCTGGGCTGTCCTGGGGGAGCGTGAAGGGCTGGTGGGAGGGGGTCCTGCTTCCACTCTGGAGCCTGATGGGCTCTCAGTTGATGAGAAGCTTGTGGAGCCATGGGCTGGAGCTCAGGAGCTGGAGCCTGGCAGGCTGGGGCAGTGGGGAGAGAAGGGAGAATGTTCTGATGCTGGTGCCAGTGCTGCCCACTGTGGAAGGAGCTGGTCCTCTCCCCTGGGCCACATCCATGTCTCCCCTCTCTCCTGTTCCTCCTCACAGGCATTCCTGCCCTTGCTGAAGAAGGCTGCCCAGGGGAGCCCGGGCTCAGGGCTGAGCTGCAGCAAGGCAGCCATTGTCAACATGTCCAGCATTGGCGGCTCCATCACTAATCCCTATGCTTGGGAGATGATCCAAGCTAGCTCATACCGCTGCAGCAAGGTACTGTCACACCGTGCTGGGGACAGATTTGCTTCCCCTGCTCTACCACAGCTGCAGGTCCCCTTGCAGCCCTCCCTCCCACCACCATCCCTGCCCTGTCTCCCCACAGGCTGCTCTGAACATGCTGACCAAGTGCCAGTCCCTGGCATACAAGGAGCACGGAATCTTCTGTGTTGCTCTCCACCCTGGCTGGGTGCAAACTGACATGGGCAGCTCTGCTGGACACACGGTAGGAATTCCACCATGGTGGCTCCATCAGAGCCCATGTGCTGACTTTCCATGGGTGGAAGTTACTGCCATGATTCCCTGCACACAACTTCCCCTCCTACCTGATCTCTGCCAGGACAGCTCTCCCTATCCTGGTCCCGGGTGCTGGGTGCCCCCATGCCCTCGGTTCCCTGCTCAGCCCCTCTGCCTGGGGTTGTCTGTTTTCCCCTTGCCTTGGAGTGGGTCCTTCCCCTGGCTCCAATTGATCCAGGGCCCTCAGCCAGGCCTTGGGCACAGGCTGCCTCTCCCCCTTTGCCCCACAGCCCCCCGTGACAGTGGACGACAGCGTGACAGGGATGCTGAAGGTGCTCTCCTCCCTCTCCGAGAAGGACACCGGCACCTTCCTGGACTGGGAAGGGAAGGTCGTGCCCTGGTGAGACACCAGTTCAGGATCCTGGCAGCGGGACCCTTTGCTGCTGCTCCCATCTGCCCCACATCCTCAATAAACCCCTCTCAAGAGCCCTCAGCTCTGCTGTGCATTGCCAGCTCATGGGGTGGCCCCTTCCTGGTTGCCCCACTCCTCAATCCCACAACTGCCACCGGATCCATGGCTGTCGTTGCACCCCCATGAGTGACAACATGCAGGTCCCATGGCACTGTAACAACCCTCTGGAGACCTCTCCTCCAGGATGCACTGGAGGAGCCAGGGCAGAGACCCTTCCATGGAGTCAAAAGATCTTCTGAACACCTGCAGGGCTGACTTTCTCCCTCTCCAGCTGCAGGGCACCCCAGGGCTGTGCTCAGCCTGGGCTGCCCAAGGGGCTGGGGGTCACGGGGACCAGCTGCCCTCTCCCCTCAGCTGGGAGATTCCTGGTCACAGGTGGGACAGACAGACACACAGCACTTGGGAAGTGCACAGCGAGCGTGTGCCGGGCTCGGGTGGGGAGTTTGAGGCTGGGTGTGTGGAGACAGAGCAGAGAGACATTAGCTCACAGACTTTACTGAGGTGGGGGGTACAGAGAGACTACAGGGTCATGCAGAGGATGGGGAAGGGGAGAGAACTTGCTTCCCAATCCCTTCCCCTCTCCCTGATAGCCCAGGGTGGGCTGAGGGCAAGCAGGGTGACCACTCAGAGGGGTGAGTCAGCAAGTGCGAGGCTGCCGTGTGGGCAAGAGAAACCATCCATCTGTCCATCACCAGGGCAGGCAGTTTCCTTCCCAGTCGAGGAAGGCTCCGGAGGCGTCCTGCGAGAGGCTGGCCAGCACGGTCAGGATGCCCCGCACGCTCTGCTCCACCGTCAGCGGTGCCTGCAGGAGGGGACAAGGCACAGCCTCACTGCCATGGGCTGTGATCAGCACAGAGAGCAGCTCTTGGGCAGAGGAGAGGGTGTGCAGCCTGGGAGCAGCACCCACAGTGCTCATGGGGATGTTTTTCCTTACTGCCCCCCCTCTGTTCTCTAGGCTGGGAGGAGGGGAGACACGGCTGGCTGTGTTGCTTGCTGCCTGCTCCCTGCTTGCTCTGACACAGGAGATGGTCCTGGCAGCCCACACAACATCCCCCAAGTGCCCCTGCCCTCCCCAAGACATGGGGATACAGGGGGGGTTCTGCTGTCCCTCCCCTGTACAGCCCAGTACCTTCTCCGTCCCCATGTCAGTCTTCACCCAGCCAGGATGGATGGCCACACACAAGATCCCCTTGTCCTGGAGCTCCGCAGCCAAGCACCTTGTCACCATGTTCTGGGCAGCCTGGAAGAGGCACAGCCCTGCCAGCACGACCCGGGGTGCGGGTGGGCAGGAGGGGGTCCATTTCCCAGGCAGAAAATGGCTGTGGAGGTGGGAAATGGGACTTGGGCCCTGGGCAAAGCATCAGCACGACCTGCCTGGAAGGCTCAGTGCCGGGTGCTGCTGTCCCGGTCTCTGTGCTGCTGCCTGGCAGAACCAGGCAGGGGGTGGGTGAGCGGGGCAGGGGGTGACCCCATGGCCTTTCCCCCTCCACGGGCACCGTGCACGGCAGAGCGTCCCCAGCACCTCCCCTGGCCCCTCACCTTGCTGGCACGGTACGGGTACATGGGGGCCTCCGGCACCCCGAGGCACAGCCCGAGGGATGCCAGTTTGGTGGAGATGTTGATGGCCGCGGCCCTGCCGCAGCTCAGCCCCTCCTTCCCTGTGCCCTTCGCCGCCTGCTCCAGGAGCGGCAGGAATTCCTGAGGCAAAGACACCGATGCTCTGTTCAGGCCTGACAAGCCCCCAGCTTGGGGGCTGCCCTGGAGGGCTCTGTCACACGCCACGGATGAGCAGCTGGACAGACACCCCCGGCAGAAGGGCAGGGGATGGGGAGGATGCCCCAAGGAGTGGCCAGGCTCCAGCCTTTCCCCTCCCCAGGGAAGGAGCGAGCTGGCACAGCCAGCCTGGGGCGGGCAGGAGCTCCAGCTGGGGAGGAACAAAGCGAGGGAGGTGTCGGGGCTGGGCTGCGCTGCCGAGCTCCCCTGGGTGGGCAGGGGAGACCCATGGAGGTGGCCTTATTCCCATCAGGGAAAGGCTTGGGTTTCTCCCCCAAGCAGGAGAAACCCAAAAGGTCCACATGTACCTTGGTAACCTGCAGTGGCCCAACCACGTTGGTGGCAAACACGGCGAGCATCTCCTGGGGATCCACGGAGCGCAGCGTGGCGTGTGAGCTGACACCTGCGTTGTTGATGAGCAGGTTCAAGCCCTGGTCCTTCAGATGAGACCCCACAGCCCCCACGGCCCCTCGGATGCTGGGCAGGTTCACTGTGTCTGCCAGGGCAAAAAGCAAAGTGGAGCAGAGCTCCTGCAGGTCACACAGCACCCACTGGCTGGAATGGCTCTCTCTAAACCAGCATTATCCAGAAAGGACACAGCAGGTTTAGCAGGTCAGGTTATTAAGCACATTGAAATGATCAGCAGCTTGTCCTCGCCTCTTGGTTTCGCAGACAAATTAAACCTCAATTCAACCCATTTTGGCTGTATGGGGGCTACTGGTAGGAAAAACTTGCTGTATTTGCTTGCTGTATTTGCTTTCTGTACTCAAGGAATTTATGATTGCAGAAGGGATGCTTGGTCCTTGCACACTGAGACTCCCAAATTTATTTCTACTGGAAGCCACCATAGATGGGCACATTTTAAGGACAGACACCATCTTTGGGGAAACAACCAAACTATGCTCTTCGAGCCCTTCTGTACTTCACAGCAGCTATAGGGGCTGTTAACATAGAGGGGATTATTAGATTGGATGAAAATCCTTTGTTTTATACCACTCTGACCAATCATTTTTAGTTACCTTTGCCTTTTTAAACAATTTGTGCTTAAATTGATCTTCCACAGAGCAACTTCCCATAGTTTTGCAGCCATTGGTATGCAAAAATCCATCTTTTTTCCTATCATTTTCTTCTGTTTAGATTTTTATTTGCTTCCTGTTGTTACTCACAAGGATTTGGAGCTCACATATGAGCTAAGGTGAGTACAAGTAATAAAAGATTTGGGATGTAACCTGCAGTATTTGGTTGCAGGCTCTGAGTCTGAACTTCCCCATCTCTACTGGCCAAGTTGTGGGGACAACCCCTCTCAAGCAACCAGAAACAACTGAAATTGGGCTAACAGGGATAAGCATCCCCAATGCCTTCCTCTTTGCTTAAATACTGGTTTTGAGATTCTGCCATGCTTTTATTGCAGGATTTTTTGGCTAAGGCAATAAAAATGGTATTTTTTTGTGTTCAGCTTTTGGGGTTGCTTGTTTGGATTTGTGTCCCCTACCAGGTGCTCACCCACTGAAGTGGCTGTTGTTTTTTTAAAAGGGTCATCTAAACACCTTTAGGATCTGCAATGGGTGGGTTAGGCCAACATTAAACATTATATATTGCCTTTTAATACCTCAACTGATCCCCTAAGAACCATGAATATTCAAGCATATGGGCATGTTGGAGTGTGCCCTTGCTCCCCTTGCACATTTCTGTGCCCATTTTTTGCAGATGCCAATCTGATGAGCCTGCTGGGTGGGGGCAACCGCAGGGCTTGATTCCTCTTTTTTGAAACACTTTGGCCCCTGAGCTGAGTTTCTGTTCTCATGCTTAGACAAGAGTGACTTAGCAGAGGTTTCCAAGGCTGAAGACTCCCTTCTTGGAGTATTTCATGCACTGACGAGCAGCAGAACCACCCTTTTTCCGGGCATTTTTAACTAGCCTGGTGTCTTTATGGTGGTAAGCAGGTATGTGAGTGGCATGGGACTTGTGTCCACCTTGCCTTGTGCAGCACACACCTTTGTAGAGGTGTCCTGAAAACATTTGAGGGGAATGTGAGGGGCTGGAGCCTTGGGATTCAAGAGGGCATGGCCAGCTGCAGGACAGAGAGCTTTGGGATGACTTCTCTTTGGATAAATCGGATGAAGTTCAAGGCTCTCCACCACAGTGAGGGATTTTTTGGTCACTTGGTGAATGATTAACTGCTCTGTTTGGATTAGCTGAGTCATTGCTCTGAGGGGTACACGAGTGGGACCAGCACGTTTCTAGTTCTAAGTCACCAAATTTGCTTAAGGAGTAAACTTTTGTCTCCTTAGAGGAAATGAGATAAGGATAAGAAAGAAAGAGAGAACAAAAAGAAGTGACAGATCATACACAATTTGGAGTTACTTTTTAACTCCTTTCTGAAAAGTCCATTCCTGTTGCTGGTTTGGAGACCTTTCCTTAAGATGGAGCAAGACAGCCTGAAGCAGCTTCTCTTTTAAAAAAATACTTTGTTGCTGTTGATTCTTTGGGGTTTTTTAGCTTATTTTGGGACTTAATTGATAGTCTGGGGTTTGGGCGTATGTCTTTTAGTAAAGGTTGTTTATGTAGTGGTCAGTCCTTTGAGATGTCTCTTTTTATGTTGGCCATGCTTTAGGGAGCTTACTTCCCATCATGTACTGTCAGTTGGGGCTCACAGCTCATTTATTTTTTATTACAGAGAAGGTGTTTTACTTTAATAATCTACTTAATAGTGAGAAAGAGATTTGCTGCCTCTTCGTAGTGAAAGCCTGACTTCAGGAATGTCTTATTTGCTAAGAAATGCTAAAAAACCTGAACTTTGAAAACCCGAACTTTTCAGGTGTTTTCAAACAAATAAATAGGTAGGTAGGTAGATACTGATACAGTCTTTGCATGGTCTTTATTCAGTTTTCTTATCACTGACTACAGTGAAATACTCAGAAATATTTAGAAGCTCTGGCTGCTCCCCACCTCTCTTATTACAGCGATGGTAATTCTGGTGCAAGCACTTTCCCAAAACACTTCTTTTGGATTTGGATGGGTTTTTTAACCAACTCTTCATTAATAGAAAGAGCAGCTGTGAGCAGCCTCCACTCTCAGGCACAGGAGAACACAGGAGATCTCTGCCTCCTCGAAACACATCCACAGGAGGTCACATTCCTCAGCCTGGTGCTCCTTATCTCCCCAGGCTTCACTCCAACACTGTCCTACCCTGTGAGCCCCCAACCCTGTCCAACACCCTGGAAGCTTCCTTCCTGACTTTGCCAACT